GAGCGTTTTAAACGGTGCCATTATAATCGACCTTCGGCCAGCACGCTCCGACGAACGAGGAGAAGGCGAAAGGGACGCATTCTCGTAGTACACGTCGTTTGTGTCTCGCGTGCGCGATTTCGGGAACGGGGATCGCTCGCTCACATTCGAACAACCCCCTCGTGGTAAGCGCGCGATACCGCCTGAATCCGATGTGGTACACGGAACGGGGAGAATCTGGAAAACTGGTGACGGTGGTGCGACGCGCCCGAAAATTTCGGAAAAAATGTTCCACGATCCTTCCCGATGGTAAGAGGGTAGGTCTGTTCAAATGATTTTAGACTGGGTTAAATTAAAAATTAATTCTCACATCGCCGTCCTTAGCCTCCGTCTCAATTAGTTAAAGCATAAACAGCTTTATATGCGAGCGGTGCGCTCATTACACCGGCGTATATCGGAGCTTTCTGAAAGATACTAGTGAATTCTTGTATACCGCATAATCGGGGGTTTTTAATAATATAATTGCGGAGGAAATAAATATCACGTTTATATGTATATATATAAATATATCTCACAAATCGGAGCATTTTTTCTGAGATTATCCTTGTAAACTTCATAAAGAAAGAAATTTTGCTGATAGCAAAATGATATTGCAACAGGGATAAAATTTAGCTAGCAAAAATGAATACTTTTAACAAGTCTTTTTGCTGTCAAAACGAATCATTTTGCTGTCACTGTAGTAACTAACAATTTGCTGTTCCAGCAAAATTTTTTCCCCCATGTTGATAAAAAGTTTGTTTACGCGCACGGAGTGTTTTTCAAAGCTTGAAAAGAGAGCTCACAGAAAGGAATGAGGGATTTAGGAATGAATAAGCGGGCAATTTCTTAGGAACAGACAGAAAAACGGAGAGAGGATCGCCGAAACTCGTCGTCGCGTATTTTCTGGTCTTCTGCGTGAACATCCCTGAGAGATCTCTTACTTATTAGGGTACATCCTGTATGGCACAGGGACGCCTGGAAATATATCGTATTTAACTTGAAACACGCCCGAGGATAAATCAATAAAGGACGAAAGTGTTCTCGCTTCAACATTTGTTTTTGCAAAGTAGCCTTTCCACTCGCGGCAAGCATTCGTTGGCGCATTTTCCCCCTGTCTCCGTGACGTACCCTCGCTCTCCCTGCTCTTCCACGCGGCAAAACATCCGTGTTTTCTTTTCAACCGCGCATTCCCATCAAAAAGATGGGTAATCTTCCAAATGCATAAAGTTCGCGGCATCGACGCGCTATTGTGCAACTTCATGGAAATACATTCCTTTGTGGGTCCATAAGGAAGACCTCCGGCGAGAGACAGGCCGAGCGTTTAGTTAGTAATTTTTGTTAAACCGATTTATATCACATCTCGCGCTCTGCTTTGTTCGAATATTTCGCGCAATATTTCGTATTGTGAATCACAAAAGTTTCGCTCGCACAGTCAACAATGTTACGTCATTAGAATTTATGCTTCTCTCTCTCTCTCTCTCTCTCTCTCTCTCTCTGTAAAATTTTTTACTTTCTGCAGAAATTGCGAAAGAAAATATTGCGATCGGGTTATCAGTCGTGAGGTCAGTTGTCTTGGAGAAGTACTGCTATATCCGCAATTCGAACGAACGATCGAACGTTCTGTATATAACACACACACACACACACACATGAGCATTTTGTAGGAAAACGTAAATATACTATTTTAAACGCGTCGAAAGAGAGCATCGGCGCAAGCGCACACATTACCTAACTTGTTACGCTCGCCGCCCTCTTCACCGTTGTACACGTATAACGTACTAACCGTCTGCCTCGGAATCGCGAATTCTAGAACCAACAGGAGTTTCCACGTACGGAAATATTAAAGTTCTGAGCCTGCGCTGATGATGGCGTAGTTCGCTAATTGCGCGATGTGTACTCCTCGGCGCATCCTTGGAAATTACCATTGTTAAAAATCATACTCCATCGAAATAAGCCGCCCGCTGCAACGAAACACCTACGACCTGAGAGAGCTGGCTGTGTGTATGTAAAAAATGTCTCGGATCCTGAAGAAAGGATTGGACGCGTTAAAATGTCCAAAAAAATATCGGAATCATTGTGCGGTTGTCGAAATGAAAATCTGACGTATCGCAGTCGGCTTAAGTCAGCGCACAATTCATTCCGGGAGGGAACCTTTAATGTAGTTCATTGAAAGCCGTAGTAATGCGATACTAAAAGCGCTCTTGTCCCTTCCTGTTCTCTTCTTCAGGTATACGCCAGGTAAATACAATATACTCTAATAATCATTGTTCGCGTTCGTTGTACCTGGCGCCGCGCTTTCTCTCTCCCTCCCTTCGTACATTTCTCTCTCTCCCTCTCTCTCTCTTTCTCCCTCTGTCCCTCTCAATGTTCCTCGCCTACGAATATTTATGAATGTTTGGCTCGCATCGATTCTACCGCGGTATTGTTCGCGTGGCACTAAGTCTTCCGTAGGTTCTTCGCAGGTATTCGGTCGGAGAGGCGAGCTGAAACACGGGCGAAGATGAGCCGCGACAGGCGAGCAAAGTCCGACAATGGGGGCCCAGAGATGATGACAGAGCTATGCATCGGGGGTGGCCGTGTGAAATCGGCAGGCACCAAAGCGTACTCGAAACATGTCGAGGAGTCGTTCGATCGTTCCGCTGCATCCCCTTCCCTCCTCGGTTCTGCCTTTCCTGCCCTTACGTCTCTTCCTCATCCTTCCTTTCTTTCTCCCACGAAAGTGAGGAAACCCGGCGACGAGAAAAACAGAGATCCCCGTATTGTATGAAGATTGCCGCTCCGCTTCCTTGCTTCGGCGGTTTACTCGCGTCTCGGAACAGGGTGGAAAATTTTGTACGAGACAGGAAGATCCCCGTAAAGATACAGAGAAGACGCGGGAAACATATTCAGGGGAACTACACAACGCTCGTGAACTTCTTTAAGAGCGTGCGAGCGAGCGACGGGCTCGCTTCTTCCGCCGCCGGGAAACGAACGCGAAGTGGAAACGACGCGTAATCGTAAAAGAAAAAAGGAAAAACTTTCTCTCCCCCTGCTGTCGAATCTCCCGTTTAACCCGGAGTTCTTGTTTACAGTTCACGCAGAATAATGTTTCGGATGTCGTTGAAAACTGAGAGTCTCAGAGCGAATTTTACGCGGAATTCAATTCGTTATATTTCACGAACAATTTACCGCGCGTTCAAAAACCCGACGTCACGATGTTTGAAATGTTTATCGCGACGCGAGTTAAATGGCGATGCTAATAATTAAAAGTAATTTGAGTTCTCGTGTCAAGCTCGCAACGAGCGGGCGAGAATAACGCGTGTTCTGCGTGGAAAAACGTAAAATCAGGCAACATAAAAGCTGACTCGAAAACATTTGGCAAGTTTCGTGAATGAATTCGCGTGCCAACAATGGATGCGCCCCCTGTACTCCCCGATAAATTCTGCGCTCCGAACATCAAAAATACGGTCGGGTGTGTGTATGGCCGTTGCTCTCCTTACTTTAGTTCTACGCTCCCACCGAGTTCTTTCGGCGAGGCCGCCGCTGAAGGAGCGCGGAAACTCCTCGTTTGTATTGTACGCAGCGCAGTTTGTTCGTAAGTTTCGCCCAAGTTTTCGCTATACCAAGCAGGGATGTCCCGAAATTCGTAAAATACGAGTAGGTAAGCCGTCTTTTGTCGTACAACGGATTATCCGCTGATAGTGACGCATTCGACAGATTCTATTAAACGCAACGACAACAACAGTTCTACTAGACAACATTGCTTTCTCTCTCTCTCTCTCTTTCTTTCTTCGTCTATTCTTCTATTCCAACAGATGTGACAATATCATTGGTATTTATCTATTGGCAGTATTTGTGTTCCATGCACAATCGAAGGATATCACCGTTTGTTTAAGTACTCGAAGCCGATAATAACGATTTAAAAAATTCAAAAGGGCGAAGGTAAAATATTACATCGGGGAGCGATGTTTCGATCATAAATATCCTCATTAGACTAAGACAAATTTAGCGCATACTGCATGCGTCTATGAATAATAAAGCCGCAGTGAAACTATGACCTTTGTAAAAAACGTCTCCTTCCCTCCGTACTTTACAGTTTTATTGTTCATGAAATCCGATAAAACGTTGCCGGACGCGCAAGCCGGTTCCATCGAATGATCGAGAAAGCGAATTTCGGCACAGCGATCGTTATTTCGATTAAGTGCAGTCGCGCTTTTTGAAATTCGTCCCCCCCCCCCCGTGTTAATCTCGAAACGCAATCACGTAAATGGCTGGACCCGCATCGAGAGAGCGCGATGGTATCTTAAGAACATACTGCAGACGAAGCAAAATGTACGGATCTCGCAAAATTAGCCGCAGCCGGTGTAGCTCTATATCCGCGGTGCGCTCCGAAAAGCCTGGAAACCGACATTGGTCTGCTCGCGTGCACCGACTGACCTCGTTCCCCTTCACAAGCCCCGCTACGAGGGTGGAGAGAAAGGGAGTGAGGGCGAGTCACGTGGTCACATCGTTAATTTCGCCGTTCTTGGACCGTAGAGGACGATGCACGCAGCAGAAGGACATGTCCCTCTATCCCCCGCCCCCCCCCCCCCCCCC